AGCGGGCGCCACCTCCCCGTGCCGCCTGCTTGACCCCACCGTCGCCGCCGCCGCCCGCCCGTCGTTGTCGTGCTCGACGTCGTCGGCGGCGGTTTCGGGAGGTTCTCGGAGCTTCACGGAGTATAACGGAGGCGCCGCTGCCGTTGTCCTTGTCGACGTCGTCGGCGGTGTTTCTCGAAGGTTTTCGAAGGTGTCGAGGGGTGCTGGGAGGCTTTTGAAAGTTCTCGGAGCTGCTCGGAATATCTCGGTGGCTCCCAGAAAGTCTCCGAGGTCGCCGTCGTCAGCGGCCGTCGAGGATGACCGTCACGCATCGATCGGAGAGGATTCACTGTCAAGGTGCCTGGAGTCTGTCCGTTTGTTTGGACCTAGCCGGGCGCCCTCGTGGGCACCGTTGGATCCGCCTCGAAGCTCTGGTCAGAACGTGCCTCAGGACAGGCCTTGGGGTCGACGCCCCTGCATCCGCCGTCGTCATCGTAGGCGTCATCGACATGGTCTTCGTTGTCGTCGTCTCCAATGCAGGCGCAGGGTAGATTTTGGAAACCACCCTTGCTTCTCCTTTCTCCATCCTCCCTCCCTGCAAGTTCCTCCCTCCTTTCATCATCCTAATACTCTTCCTGCGTCCCCCCCCCTCATGTTTCTGACTCCTCCTACTGTATTCTGGTAGTCGGCTTTGCCAGCGTGGCTTCCACTCAGCGGCATGTTGTACTCTCGGTGTGTACTACTACGTTGTGCAAGCTGAAGAGCTTGAAGTGGTCAATTCCAATGCTCGGGCAAACATCTCACTCACCCGCCCACCCACAATTGCAATACTGAATAGACAATGAGAGCAGCTACCTACCAGAGCTTGTTAGCACAACAGGCGCAATGCCGCGCTGACTCTTCTCCTGCAGCTCCATTACTCGGTTAGTGATGATGCTGCCGGGAGGATCTGAAAACATGGGCACTGAAATCGGTACGTCTTCTATCGAAGACGCCTGCGGCGAGACACCGCTGCCCCCTGTCTCTTGCGGCCAACCATTGGATCGCATGGGTGCTTACAAGAGCTATTGGACTGTGTCTTTCCCCAGCCGATGTGGAACCGGTTGGGGGAGCAGTTGGGAGAGGAAGAGATAGGAGGAGGAGGAGGAGGAGGAGGAGGAGGAGGAAGAGAAGGAGAATATGGAGCGGAAGGAGGACGATGAGAAGTTTGAGGAGGAGAAGGAATACTAACCTACAGTTATACAAGCCGCCACGCTTGATTTAAGTACCAACTATCCACGCAACTACCTATCTACGTTATTATCCTTGCTACTGGTATCGCATGCCGATGTTCGTTTCCTGCGGGGCCGCTACGGGGCTACCCCAGGTACAACCACGGACCATTGGACTGCAGAGGGCAATTTGTGGACAACCACCGGTGGACGTTCTCGAATTAGTCCGATCTCGGAGTGAACGCGTAAGATGCAAGTGATAGAATTTGAGTTATTGTTGCCAATATGTCTCGAGTTACTCATTCAGGAGCAGACAATACATAAGGACTCAGATCAAGTAGACGAATCTAGAACACATCACGAATGGATAACCACACCCACACCAACACAACGGAGATGTTGAGACAGAGGATAAACGGCAATCATATAGATAAGAACACACTTAAAGTGCACAAGCATGACAGTAGTGACCACACGTAAGAGCAACATTCAAACTAAAACGACGCAGTCGATAAGCTAATAAAGAAACCAAGCCAGCGGAGAGCACACAATCTTTTAATTTCATTGTGAACCAGCAGAACACACAGTAGAGGGTAGATGACATTGGTTTGGTAGTGTGGACCTCAAGCAGCGATTTTTTTGCAATCTACGGGGCGCAATCTAGGTAGTGCAATTAGCTTTTGCCAACTTATAGGATGGCAACTCAACTGATCCCGCAATCATCCCACCCTCCCACCTGGAATATTTCTGCAAAGCCCATGCGGTGGCGATTTCGATGGTGGTTTGGTCTTGGCTGGCGCATCTCTGCGGCCACGCTGTTGCGCGCGAGTTCGCGCGCAGACCGCCCTGGTTTGGCACACACGGTCCGGCCGCGATGGCGTTTACCGATGGCATTTCCCCAGCGCGTCTCAAAAGCCGCGCTGGCACGCGACCACTTCAATGCGGGTCAGTGACTCGGGCAGGCGCGTTGTCATCATGACGACGACAACGGCGGCAACGATGATGATAGTCGCGATGGTAGTGGCGATGATGCTGATGGCGACGGCAAAGACAACGACGGCGCCGGTGCGGGTCACGTCGACGACAATTTTGATGTTCGTGTGTCGATGATTCAGGTGCTCGAGTGATGGTGGCGGCGGTGGCGCTGATGGGGGTGATGGTGAGGAATTCCGCGCACGCAGAAAAAAATAACATCGCCAATTTTGACTTGAAAAGCATGTGTTATTTTCATGCGTGTTTGAAAAAGCTGTTGATGCAAGCTTCGGGCAACAATGGTTTGCATTGATTTCGGCACGCTTTGCGTGGCGGCGCGCGCGTGTGGCCCGCATGGCGTTATTTGCTTTGGGTTCGCGCAGTGGACGCATGTCAGATCAACGCGGCGCACCGCGTGGTGTAAGATGAGAATGCAGCTTCCTTGTACACGTGTTGAAGCCAATGTTTCATCTGATTTCAGCAAATGCTCAGCTCGCAGCCTTCCAAGGAGCAGCGAGGTCTCAAATGGGTTTGCGTGGCCCCGACTCCGCTGGACCTCCTAGGAACCCGCGGAAGCGGCGACATTTTATCCACGTCGCAGCCACCCAGGGAGCAGCGAGGTCCCTACTGGGCTTGCGTGGCCCCCGACTCCGCTGGACCTCCCTCCTAGGAGCCCACGAAATTGGCGACATTTGCTCCGTTCGCAGCCTTCTAGGGAGCAGCGAGATCCCCAATGGGTTTGCGTAGCTCCCGATTCCGCTGGGCTTCCTGGAGCCCACGAAAATGGTGAGGATCAGCGTGGCCTCGACTCCACCAGACCTCCTAGGAGCCCACCAAAGTGGCGACGGTTGAGCGGTTGGCAGCCACTCCAGGACCAGCGAGATCCCAAATTTGTTTGCGCGGCCCCGACTTCGCTGGACCTCCCAGGAGCCCATGAAAGTGGCGACAGTTACGCAGTTCGCAGCCCCTCCAGGGAGCAGCGTAGGAGGAGACAGGAGGAGGCAGGAGGGAACGTCGTCGCGGCCGGCTATTTGGTCAGATGGGGTGTCGTGCGGAGATTGTGTTCGCCGTTCGAGAAGAAGGGGAAGGAGTGGATACCACAATGCTCTATTCAACACGAGAACCCAACACAGGAGGGTTGGGAATAGACATTCCAAGTAACATGGGGCCCTCTTGGGAGTGCTATTTTAGCTCTCTTGGGGCCTATTCGCAGCCTTACAGGCCATGTGGAAGCCACCTTGAGCGTCTTGGACCGATCGTGCAGCGATTCGGGGCCTCTTGGGGCTCTTCTTGGCCCGTCTTGGAGCCCCCCTGGGCCCGACAAAGTCACGCGACAACATGCCCCCGCACGCAGGAAGCCCCAGGAGGCACGCTGGGAGCCCAAGGAGATTTGGCAATTTGGGGTCCAGGCCTTCAATAAGAATCCCCAGGATTGAGAACACAGGTTGTAGGGATTAGGCCAAGGACTTGAGGATATTCAAACTCGTGCCTCAAAGGCACGGTAGCGGATTGTTTGGGCCGTGGGTCTCGTCTGCAGGAACAGGAGAATTGCCAGTTCTGCGGTGAGAACTCCCGATACTGGCAGGAATGCGCTGGTCGTGACCCTCTTTCTGATGGCGCGGCCGCTTCTGCCACGTCTCGCCCTCTGGCAGCCGTGGGACCGTTCTCGTTTCACTGCACGCCCTCGTTCTTCCATACTTGGCGGCCCGCTAGGCCCGATTGAAAACGAGATCCCCACCTAAGCTGGCCTCAGAGACGCCCAAGAGGGCCCCAAGACGGTCCAAAAGCGTTTCAGGAGTCCCCGAGATGCTTCAAGACGGCCCAAAGAGGCCCCCCACACCGCCCAAGAGCGTCCCAATACGATTCCCTAAGAGGGTCTCTGGAGGCAAGTTCATTGATCTTCCAACGTGTGCATCTTAGTGCTTATTTTTCAAGGGATGGTGGTCGTCCCGTCCCTCCTCTGGTAACCGACATCGCGGCGAGAGCATGGTGCATGAAGAATGTGTGAGGAAGTTTGATGCGAAATAATTGCCGGCTAAAACGACCCAATGTCGGACAAGACGTTTTTAGATGGACCACGATCCCAGAAAAGTCCAGGAGAGGCAAGTCGTACGCAAGATGATCCTACGGCGTGCAAGGAAGCTCCGAGTAAATTCCAAGATGGTTCCAAGAGGATACTCAGGAGCGTCGGAAGAGGTACACACATACCATTGAACATCAGTTGTTTTGTTTGAGCGCCCAAGTTGGACCAAAAGAGCCCCAATCTAGTCCTAAGGCGGCGCAAAAGAGCACCAAGAGGGCCCTACAATCCTTCAGGCTCAAGAGATTTCGGCCCATCAGTGGGGACTTGTTCCTATATATACAAACACGCACACAAGGTACACGTTCCACTTGGTGAATCTGAATTTCGCCGGGTCAATATGCCTGGTATGATGGTTCCTGTCCACGCTCTGGTCGTTGTTGTGCTGCTTCGAGCGACTGCCGCCATCAAGATCGTGGAGGACGGGGGCACGGATGGGCCCGAGGCGGTCAAGGCTGCAGCGCCGCCAGCGCCAGCGCCGGTCACCGAGGACCGCCATGACAAGGGGCGACCACAAACTACTCCTCCGCCCACAGCGCCCCCGACGCCAGAGCCGACGTCAGAGCCGACACCCGAGCCGACATATTATTATGAAGGCCCGGGCATCCCTTGCTCGTGTCACGTGCCGGCCTGCTTCCATACTTACGACCTGAATTCCGATGGCTGCCTAACCCAGGACGAGTGTGACCTGCATATGCCCATCCTTGAGTACTGTTTCAAGGTGCCCTCTGGTTGCGGGCCAGAGAAGTGGGACATCAATGATGACTCTTGCATCGATTCGGCTGCGTTGCCGCGCGGATTCCGCCAGAGTGATTGCGGAGGGTGGATGGGCTGGAAGTGGGGGGTAGTGTAGCACATGTCTCTGCACGCCCAACCCTTAGCATGTACCATTGGTACCAAAGTTGCTTGGTAGGCACTTGAAATAATCCGCAGGGCGAACAACTCTTAGCTTTCGGTGCGCCAGCGGAGCCCGACTAATGCTGCCGCAAGCCAAAAGCAAGCTTAACGACAAGGCGAGGACCCAGCACGCGCCTTTGGCGGCGCGGCCAAGCGCGCAATCACGCGGCCGAAGAAAAAACGAAGGCTACCAGCCGCAGAAAGAAGTTCGGTAGAGGCCCAGATCAGAGACAGCAGGGTGTGCCGGGTCCTACCATATAGGGGGCCGCGTAGCATGACTCGCGGGGAGGCAGTGGCGAGAGGGGCCGACCGACGGGATGAGAAGAACCGCCGGGGGGGGGGGTGATGCACAGCAGGGGAGGCGGAGGACAGTTGTAGTCGTGCTGGGCGCACAGGCCTGGCACACACACACACACATTCACACACACGCACACTCGCACAAACCGCTTCGAGCGCGGTGGCGGACCTGTCCGAATTCCAGCGGGTTTACGACGTCAATCAATCAGTCTGCCCGCAGGAGGTTCCGGAGCCGTGCGACGAGTGCCCACAGGGCTATTACATCGTGCCGAACCCTTGTGAGTGCGTTGAGTGCATTGGCGAAGCGCGCAGGTGATTTGGGGAAGGGGACCCCTGACATTAACACTCAGATTTGGAGGCGAGTTATGGCGCCCAAGACCCTAGTTAACAGTTGCAATTCATGGATGCAGCTGGGGGCTGGAGGGCCAGGCGCCATACCCTCGCGTCTGGTCATGCTCTTCTGGGCTGTGCTTGCATTTTGCCGTCCCTGCCCCTCTGTCAGTTTCGGTTTGGTCAGGGTTTCCCTTGTCCACAGGCGCCGCTCCACAGAATGCACTCCCTGCCCAGCTCCCTTCGTGCCCTGCCAGAACCCCGAAGAAGACGATTGCTGTGATCCATATATGCCAAGGACAGACCCGCCACCAAATGGCACTATTCCTGTACAGGTCCCATATCAAACGTGCACTGAGTTCTCTTTGGGCGATAGCATCACGATCACTGGAAGACTATCGAGTGACCCGTCTACTATTGTCACTCACACATCAGTCGTCATTGGGGTTATCCAGATTACTGGGGGGTACGAACTCGATCTGCACGACCCGCTCCCAGGAGACTTTGAATTTGAATCGACAGTTCAGCAGGCCTGCACTTCCACTGATGGGACTCAGGTGAGCAGCTCATTCTCTCCCTTTGTCGGCGGTTGTTGCTGCGCTTGTGGCACTGATTGCTGCGAGACCACTGAGGTGTGCACTGTGTACCCCAACGGCACGGGTGTTTGCTCCCCCGCTGGCCCGTACCCCGAATTCTCGACTCCAGCCCCGACCGTGGGCGCCAAGGGCGACCCGCATTTGGTCAACCTGCAGGGAGAGCACTTCGACATAAATCACGATGGCAAGTTCACACTGCTTCGCTTTCCCCAGGCTGTCGAGAAGCCGGCCGAGTTCACTTTCGTGGCGAACGTCCAGCCAGACGTCGGTAAGCCGTGCACTACATACATCACGGAGGTGGGGCTGAGCAACACAGCAGATTTAGTTTCTAGATGTTTCGCGTAACCCTTCTTGCCCATCCAGAAACGATGCCTAGACGAGTTGCCGTGATCAGGTATGCGGAGGAGAATGCAGTGTAATAAAGGGCTGGGTAAGACGTCATACCCCAAGAGGGGTAGGATGAAGGAGGAATCGAAGGAGGAACAGCAGGAGAGGAGGAGTAGGGAGAGGGGAACGTGGAGGAGGGAGGATACAGGAGGAATAACATCTGGATTATGATGATGCTGATGATGATGATGATGATGATGATGCTGATGCTGATGCTGATGATGATGATGATGCGGATGATGTTGCTGGTGTTGATGCTGGTGCTGATGCTGGTAATGATGATGCTGATTATCTTAATGATGCTGATCTTGATCATGATGATGAAGATGATGATGGTGATGACGATGATGCTGATGCTGATGATGATGGTGATGATGATGGTGATGACGACGATGATGATGATGATGATGATGATGATGATGATGATGATGATGATGATGATGATGATGCCGCCCCGATCACTTGATTTCGGCGTCGCACCGCCCCCACCGCCTCGCCCCTCCCGCCCCTCCACCCACCCACCCACACCAACCACCACCACCACCAGTGCAACCCCCTCCGAGCAGACCACTTTATTTGGGCGTCGCACCACACCCCGCTCAGTGCCATTTCTACCCCGCCGCCATCCGCCCCGACCACTATTTCGGCGTCGCACGGCCCCCACCGTCCTGCCGCCACGACCCTTGCCCCCTCCCCGCCCGCCCAGAGCACCCCGCCCCCCTCTGGCCCAGAGCACCCCGCCCCCGCCGTCCCGCCCCCCCGACCCTTCTCCGATTTCCCTTTCCCTCTCTTCCCCCCCCTCTTCTTTCTCCTCCACCTCCTCCCCCTCCTCCTCCTCCTTTTCCTCCTCCTCCTCCTTCCCCCTCTCTTTTGTGCAAGAGCCATTGCACGCGTGCCACTTGTTTATGCCTCCCGAACCACAACCGTGGCTGGGACTTGTCTTGGTCACTGTTCTGCTTTGCGTTGTTTGCCATTTGTATCATGATGCCCACATGAATGCAGCCCGAACCCCAATTGTGACCAGGTCTGATCCTTGTCACGGTTTTGGTCTCGGTCGATCTGCCTTAATCAATTAATAATAATATTGAGGCAATCCGAACCACAATTAAGACCAGGATTGGCTTTGGTCACGGTTAATACAATTCGCAGGATACGAATTCAACCCAAACCACAATTTTCACCAGGCCTGGTCTTGGTCACGGTTCGGGTTGGGTCACATTATGCTGTATATGTGTCGAAAGGTGTTGCTTATGTGGACCAACACCAAGACTGGTCACTGTCACAGTTGTTGCCGGTCATTGGTACTAACTAACATGAGCCAACCTAGACCTACACCTTTACCAGTTATAGTCATAGTCGCAGTCCGACATTTATAAAATGGAACGGATGACGCACCATATTGCACTCACGCAGACTTGTCCTGGTCACAGTCGTAGTTCGATACTTGTATCGTAATTCGAAAACTGTCTACCTCAACCAACACCAGAACTACAATCCAGGAAACAAACACATCGCTCAAAACATCAACGCAATCTGGGCGCGAACGGCAGAGTGATATATTCCCTGGCGGCTCCCTTTTGGAAATGCTGAAACTAGCGCGTCGCCCGAGACATCCTCAGAACCTGCTTTGAACAAACGAGTCCGACCACCCAAACAACCGATTTGCTTGAGACATCCTCGCAATTGGGGCCCCCCTTGGGGTGCGACAGCAACCGCCTCGCCCGAGACATCCTCCAAATCTGCTCGGACAACAGAGGATATTGGATCAGGAAACAGGCGCTGACGGAGACATCCTCGCAATTGGGGCGCGAAGGGAACAGTGAGATACCCCCTGGCGGTTCCCCCTTGGGAGTGCTGAATCCAGCGTCTCGCCCGAAACATCTTCAGACTTTGCTTTGGAAGCAGATGAGGACCCCTCCTGAGGTTTTGGTCTGACCACCATTATTCCGACGGTGGGACCCCACTTGAGAATCTATTTCATTTACCTTTAGCCATTTCCTTTTCGCCCTGGCGGACACCCTCTTCTCGCCCTCTGCTTTGCTCTCTCCTCCTCTTGCTCCCTCTGGTTATCCTCCTTTTCCTCCTCCACCTCCTCAACATCGCCGTCCCCCCACCCCTTCCCCCCTGCTTATCCTCCTCCTGCCATGTGCACCTCCCTTTTTCCCGGGGCAAGCAAGTCGATAATCCTCGGCGCCGCCGCCGCCTCGGCCAGCACGCGCGCGTTCGCCGACGGCCAGATCGCGAAGTCTTTGGGCAATCCCGCATACCATGCCTTTGGGACAACCCCGCGGGCCACTGGGGCGCGGGGCCGGGCCGTCGGGACAATCCCGCAGGCCAGGCCGGTTTGGAAAACCCCGCGAGCTTCGAGATGGACGCGGCCGCGCTCAGGCGGGGGGCAGTTCGAAGCTGCGAGCTGCTCCGCTTCGGTTCTGGAGCTCCCCGCTATTTCGATGAACTTCCGCAGCGCGTTCCGCAAGGACGCCGGCGGCCCGCGCTCCAGGAACCTTCGCGTGGGCGGCCGCAAGATCAGCATGCGTTCCGCAGGCACGTGGCGCGGGAGACCATGACGCAGAGGTGCAGCCACCAGCGTTTTTCCGACATACCCGTGCGACCAGCGTCTTCATCCCTGGCGCAGTCGATGGTGACGCCATCGCCGCGTCGGAGGACTCGGGTTCAGCCGAGTGCCCCCTTTTCGCGCAAAAAAAGTGACCCCGTTCGGATTGGCCCGCGATGGCTCGCATCATCCTTCGTTCCTGAGGAGCCCAAGGGTGACGACAGCTACGAGATCTCAGGGACGCCTCACGATTCACGAGTCTAACATGGAGCCGCGGGCTCTACAGCGAGGGGGGTTCAACCCGAGGCTTTCTCATGGCTCGCTCACCGACCAAACTCCCGCCAGGTACATCCTCAAAATTCAAGCGTGGCTGGGGAACCCAAAATTGGCGACAATGTTAAGTTTCGCATGGCCAGTTCGGATTGCCACTACGCAGCGCGGGCCCCATAGGGAAGGGGGCAATTCACGCAATCCACTCACAGATGAGGTTAGCGTTTGAGACCTCTTCGAGATTAAGGCGCGAAGGGCCCAATCATGTCGACAGCGACCCGCACCGATTACCAACATGGACTCCGACCTCTTTAGTGACGGGGTTGTCGCCTGAGACAATTCATGCACGAACGAGACTCCTCCGTGATTTGTTTTGAATTCAGGTGTGAGGGACCCCGAACGACGATTGTTACAGGATTTTGATCACCCGCCCCGATTGCCAACATGAGGTGCGGGTTCCACACGGCCAGGGCTCCCGTCCTAAACGTCGTCGCAATTCAGCACGAACGAGGTTCCCGCCCGAGGTTTCTTCAGAGTTCAGGCGTGAAGGGCTCAAATGTGACGACACGTATTGGATTTGGATGACCCGAACCTATTTCCAGCATGACGTGCGGGCCCCAAAGGGAAAGGGCCCCCCGCTTGAGGTTTCTCCATTTTTCACGCACAGACGAGGCTCCCGCCTTGGACTTCCTCAACATGAGTATATACCCATACGACAACCCTTCGTGTGATAAGAAGGTTGTGGGGGGGAGGAAGAGGGGAACCAACATCGGACTCAATCGATCTGACGATCGATCCCACTCAATGGGACACCACGGGACACCACGGGACACTTGTCGATCTCATTATCGATATCATTATGGATCTCATTCAACGGGTTACCACGGGACACCACGGGACACCGCGTGACACCTCTCGATATCACCACCGATCTCGCGATCGATCTCACGATCGATGTCATTCAAGAGACACCATAAGACACCACAGGGCACACCGGGACACTACATCGATCCAACTCTCGATCTCACGATCGATCGCACGATCGATATCATTCAACGGGATACCGCGGGACACCTCGGGACACCTGTCGATCTCACTCTCGATCTCATTCCCGATCTCACTCAGTGGGACTCCACGGGACACTTCGGGCCACCACATCGATCTCAGTATCGATTTCATTATCGATCTCATTCAACGGGACACCACGGAACACGACAGGACACCTGTCGATCTCTATATCGGTTTCATTATCGATATTACTCAGTGGGACACCGCGGGACCCCCCATCGAACTCATTATCGATCTCACGATTGATCTCACTAAACGGGACACCGCGGGATACCACGGGACACCGGCGGGACACCAGCGGGACACCAGCGGGACACCGGCGGGACACCGGGGGCCACCGGCCGCCAGAAGAGAAACATTTGGTCCGGCCGCGGCCCAGCCAGAGGAGGATTGCGGGACACCATGGACACCGGCGGGACACCGCGGGGCACCGGCCGCCGGAGGAGTGACATTTGGTCCGGCCGCGGCCCAGCCACAGGATAATTTCGGGACACCAGCGAGGCACCGGCGGGGCACCGCGGGGCACTGGCCGCCCGAGGAGTTACATTTGGTCCGGCCGCGGCCCAGCCACAGGAGGATTTCTTCTCGCCCGCCCACGCAGTTTCGCAGGTTGGGGGGTGAGTCCGACGTGAAACGGGGACCCCCCCTAATTACCGAGATGAAATTGATTTCGGTTTCGGGTTCGTGTCGTGCGTGCCGTGCGCGCGTGCACGCGAGGCGAAGCTGCGTGGGCGGGCGAGAGGAAATCCTCCTGTGGCTGGGCCGCGGCCAGACCAAATGTTTCTTCTCCAGCGGCCAGTGGCCCGCGGTGTCCCGCCAGTGTCCCGCTGGTGTCCCGCAATCCTCCTCTGGCTGGGCCGCGGCCGGACTAAATGTTTCTCCTCTGGCGGCCGGTGGCCCGCGGTGTCCCGCCGGTGTCCCGCTGGTGTCCCGCTGGTGTCCCGCTGGTGTCCCGTGGTAATTATCCCGTGGTGTCCCGTTGAGTGAGATCGATCGTGAGATCGATGTGGGGTCCCGA